ATCTGCCTGTTCTGCTCCCCGCTCTGTCTCTGGGGAAGCCTCTCACCGCCCCTGCACCCCTGGCCTGTGCCCCGGTTCTGTATGCACAAATAAATAAATCTTTAAAAAAGAATCACATTGGCTAAACTCTTGGCAGAGAGGCAGTCTAGCTGGTAAAGCCTGACTCCTCACGCAACCCCCGGGCCACGGGACCCTGGCCCTGGTTTCCCAGATGAGTGACGCTGGGCGAGCTACTGTGTTCTGTGTGCCTGCGTCTCCACCCCTGAGAGCGGGATCACAGTGGTGGTTCCCTGCCAGGATGTTGTGAGGTTGAAAATGCCAAGCGCTTGGCGTGACAAGCACTTGGGCTTAAGATATGCTCAGGGTCATTCTGTCTTCTGTTAGGACATTGTCTCTCCTGTGTTGGCTCACTTGATCTGAACATCGGAAAGTTTAAACAGAAAGCTTACTCATTTGTCTGGTAGCTTTATTCGTGAAGCCACACGTCACGTTTGCACGTGCGCTCCTGTAATGCACGTGGAAATGTAGAAAGTAGAATCGAAAAGACGGAACGCTACCTGCACCAGCTGGGGTCGTAGTCGCGCCCTTGAGGCCCTTCCAGGCCGTCTCGGTGACCCCCGGAGTCCCCGTGCGTATTGAGTGACTTTCAAAGGTGTATGTATTTATGCACACGAGAGCTGGGGCGCAGGCCAGGCGCGTGGGGGTGAGAGCATTCATCAGAGACACAGCGGGCAGCAGAACAGGCAGGTCCACTGAGGCTGCCGCTGAGGGGGCAGCGGGGAGACAGGAGAGTCTGGGGGCCTCGGGGTCCCTCCCCGGCGGCTGCGCGGGACTGCTTGGTGCTGGGCTACCCCCTGCCCAGGGAGGCCCTGCTTGAGTTTCTCGGGGGACCCTGGGCCTTCTGCTTGGCCTTGGCTTTCCCGGAGCGGTGGTCCGCGGCGTTCCCCTCGTAGCGGGGTTTCACTGCCAAAGCGCCGGCCGCAGTGTCCACCCCTGTCCTTCCCAGTACTGCCACTACGTCGCCGGGCTGGTGGGCATCGGCCTCTCCCGCCTCTTCTCGGCCTCGGAGTTCGAAGACCCGCTCGTCGGCGAAGACACGGTGTGCGCCAACTCCTTGGGCCTGTTCCTGCAGAAGACCAACATCATCCGCGACTACCTGGAGGACCAGGAAGAAGGCAGAGAGTTTTGGCCTCAGGCGGTAGGAGAGCTCCCGGCCCGGGGGGGGGTTACCCTCGGGCAGCGGGGCGGTCACCCAAACCTGGTTACTTGTCTGCTCTCAGTAATCCTCGAAATGTCACGGAAGCCCCCGCGCGGCCCTGCGGTGTGCCGGACGCGGCCCG